AACAACTCAACAATGTTCCTTCAGAAGAGTTAGTACTTAGGACATAATGAACTCTTGTGTCAGGAATGGCGGGAGAAAGGCAAACACGTATAGATATACCCCCTTCAAGCGAGAACCCCTGATACAGCCAAACCAATAAGCAAGCACCTGCAGGCGTGGGCAAGCAAGCAGCAGTTACATTCCCAGGGGGAAAAGCGAACCCAGCAGAGCTTAGACCAGTTTGGTGTAATGGTTAAGTGTGTGGACTCTAATCTGGGAGAACCGGGTTTGATTCCCCACTCCTTCACTTGCACCTGCTGATGTGACCTTGGGTCAGTCACAAGCTCTGGCACAGCTGTCCTTGAAAAAGAGCAGCTTGTGTCAGAGTTCTCTTAGCCCCACCCACCTCACAGGGTGTCTGTTGTGGGGAGAGGAAGGGAAAGGAGTTTGTAAGCCGCTCTAAGACTCCAAGTGAAGGGCGGGGTATAAATCCAATCTCCTCTTCTTCTCTAGACTTCAAGGACACCAGACAGATAACAGAGCACAGCTGAGGAGGCGTGGGGGGATGGGAGGAAGGAAACCGAGCGAGCACCCTGCACATGCCAACCCATGGCAGCATTAGCTGACAGATGCTTCCTGTCATACTTCCCTCATTTACCTGAAAAAAGGGGTTTTTTCCTGTATAAATAAAACACAGAACCATAGAATTAAAAAATTTAAAAGCTGGAAGAGGCCTAAAGACCATCCAGTCCAACCCCCACACCATGCAAGGTGACTTAAAGCATCCCTGACAAATAAATGTCTAATCCCTGCTTAAATACCTCCAAGGAGGGAGAACCCACAACATTCCTGGGCAACCAGTTCTATCACTGAACTGCCTTTATTGCTAAAAAGATCACGATGGGTAGCTGTGTCTGTCTGTAGCAGCAGAAAAGAGCAAGAGTCCAGTAGCACCTTAAATACTAACAGAATATGTGGTGGGGTATGAGCTTTCGTGAGTCACTGCTCTCTTCAGCATGTGAGCAGCAACTCACAAAAGCTCATACCCTGCGACATATTTTGTTAGTGTTTAAGGTGCTACTGGGTTCTTGCTCTTTTCTACTATTGCTAAAAATGATTTTCTAATATCTTGCCGATATCTTCCCATCCATAATTTAAACTCAGTATTAAGAGTCCTATCCTCCACTACCATCTGAAACAGCATCGTACCCTCCTCTAAATGACAACCCTTCAAATACTTTAAAAAGAGTATTCATATTCCCCCTAACTCGCCTCTTCTCCTGGCTGATCATTCCCAGTTCCCCGCAGCCTTTCTTCATAAGACTTAGTTTCTAAACCCCTCATCACCCTTGTTGCTCTCCTCTGTACCCACTCTAAAGTTTCTATGTTTTTCCTATAAAAAGGCCCCCAGAACTGGACACAAAGCTCCAAATGAGGTCTGACCATGCAGTATACAGTGGTACTATCACCTCTTGGATCCTAAACACTCTACACCTGTTGATATACCTTAAAATAAAATTTGCCTTTTTTTGCTGCCACTTCACATTGGCTACTCATTCTCAATTCGCAGTCCATCAAAACCCCAAGATCGCATTCACACACGCCTACCACCCTGAGTAGACAGCATTTTTACTTCCCAGATGTAAAACCTTATTTTTAACTCTAATACACACACACACACACACGTGCATACATTTATCTGAGCTTATTGTTGGCTTTATATGCTTGTCACAGGGTTCCTTTAAGTGGGTGGCCTAGAAGAATGAATGAGTCTGGGTTGTACTGATAGAGCAGTAAGGAAAAGGTGGGTGGTGATTTATGTGCTGACATCCTTGGTGCTGATCTGAGCCACCTCATCCTTTTATCTCTGTTGTGCAGACATTTTGAGGCTGGATTTCCAGCATCACTCAAATGAGCTCTGAGGATGTCTCTTCCCTTTTTTGATCTGGAAGTATAGCTGTCACTGGATTTGACAGGAGCAAGCAGAGACAGGACAGGATGTTCTCAGCACCTGTGAGGAATGCACAAGGAAGTTTCTCTACTGCGCTGTAAAAATGGAACATCTGCTTCTTTCCTCATCACACTCTGAAATGGAAGCAAGTCTTTTATGGCCAGCAAACAGTATTAAGTCCCAGTGGTTACAGCTTTATTTTGACTGCATTGGGGTCTGCTGTGTGTGGGGTTTTAAGATGTAGGAAACAAACTCTTGTTAGAACTGCTGCTAAAGCTACTGCCACATAAAAGAACCCAGGCTGCTCCGTCATGATGCATGACTGATAGTTAATACAAGCCTATATTTGAGATTCCTTTGGATAATGGCATACCTTGCAGTGCAGTTTTCACACTATTAAAAAAAACAACTATAAGTGGGCAGAAAAGTACACATTACACTAAAGGAGAGAAGCAAACCCCAAGGGCTGAAAAAGCTATTGTTTTACCATGTAATAGCTTAGTGCTGTATAACCAAGGGATCTCTTTATAATTTGACTTCAGTTTTAAAAATAAACGCATCTACTGAACAAGTTAACAGTGCACACAAGCTCTAAAGGTCAGTTGCCTCTATGTTCATACTCTGGCTAGATTAGTAAAAGAACCTCTTGCATTATAGTTATGGTGTTATACTTGTGCTAGCAACGATCCAGAGACAGAAGCATTTTATTCCACTCCCACGTAACAGGTAAGGATGACACAGAATAGCTTTGGTACAAGATGCATAAAGGGGAAAACAAGGACTTTTCAGATACATATTGAAATGTCCTGTAACCAGGCATGAGTGGGAGGAGAAACTGTGGCCCCGGTCACAGGAGCCCCTTGTAGGCCACCTCTGCAGAGGAGGGCATTTCCAGATGTAGGGCAGCCCCCAGACGCAGGCGGGGCCTTGACGCGGCCACCTCGGTGCTTTCGAAACGCCGGCCTCGTTTAGCCGTTGCTATGGAAGCCTGGGCGCGGGGGGGTTCAGAGGCAACGTTGGGCTCCGAAACAGCTGGGTGGGGGGGTCATTTCCCTTGCAGAGATATTACAGGGCTCTGTTTCCATCTCCCTTGGTCTCCGCAGCAGCCAAGGGGGGGGGGGGGGAGGCTGCCGGGGGGTGAGGGCGGGGTTGTTTTTACGGGAAGGGGCCCGGGGGGGGGGGGCGCTTGCTGGTGCGAAGCTCTCTTTCCTCCTCCCCCACAACGACTCGTCTGCTCTTCTTTTTTCTTCATCTGAATTGCGCTAGAAGAGAACGGCACTGCTGGGAAGGGAACCTAGGGGTGGAGGGGACACACCTTTTGCCACCAGAAACACGATCAGACGCCTGCCCTTGCCCCGCGGTTACCGGAAACTAGTACCTCGGAGGTACTAGTTTTTAACTGCGCATCTTCGAAGGGAAGCCTCGGGTTCGCCACGGGAGCTCTACGCTTCCCAGATGTTGCGGTGTGATCGCGCCCGGAAAATCCGCCTATCATCCGTCTCAGTAGCGTGGCTACTGCTCCGTGTGACCGCAGCCTGTGTTACTTTAACTTTTGAGAACTGACACTGGATGAGTGCTTTTTCTAAAAATTGACTTTAACTCTCCCCTAAATGAAATAAGCAACTGCTCATGACTACCAACATTGCAAGGAGTATCTGACAAATGCCTGTGACAATGGCACAACTGTAGCACTTACAATACCAATGGACACAATGGGAATGGCCTTTTCTAAACACAATACTGATGCAGGAAGAAGGCAATATCCTTGCAACAGAAGTGTTACCGTGAAGGAAGACACCTGGATCCTATGCAACAAATGGGCCTTTGCTGTCTCATTGCCTGAAAGGTGCTCTGCTACTTGCGTTCTCTGGAACAAAACCTTAATATTACATGTGTCGCTCTTCCTGAAGGTACTAAACAAAAGTGTTCCTGGCTTACAGGCCGGGCTCTTGAGTAACAAGTTCCTTTCAGGCATATTTTACTGTCTGTTCCTTTTTATCCACCTCTTCACACTGATCTTTCCAGTAAAACTGGCATTGGTCCCTAAATAAGGTTTCCCATAAATATAGCACAACATCAGTTGTCATGCCAGTGGGAGACAAAATATTTAATATTAAAAGCCTTTAATGGAAATGCAAAATTAAAAAGATAAAGGGCAAAACTTATTTTAGATGCCCATTTGGTGCATATTTCTTCAATTTTGACAGTAAGAGGACAAGATAGCTTTATCAACCTAGGTTTTTAAGACTTATAAATAGCCTTCACAGCTAGTATCGCTCCAGAAGAAAATAGTCAATGTAACCTGAACAATTACACATAAGGCTACTCACATTAAAAGATGTAGATTGACGACACAGGCTAAAAACAATCAGGCAAGTCTCCTAATTTGTAGTCTTTACCATAGAAACAACTTGTATGCTCATATCAGCATCCCTGCAAGGACTCTAAAGTAGTATGTGAACTTACAGCATTTAACATACCCTGAAAGAACTACAGAGAAAAGGAGGAACTGAACCCTTTTGAAGTACAAAGCAGTTTTTTAACTTCCCTTTAGAAAATGTTTAAAAATCTAAAAATGAAGCACTCACTGCCAGGTAAGTTGCAACACAGGGCTAAGCAGCTGAAGGACACCACTGAACTATGAAAAACCCAGGCCACTAGTTTCACTGCTATCAAGATGTCATTATAGGGGGTAGCATAGATTATTTTGTGGTATCTGGCCTTGTTTTCTTTGATCTTGTTCAAGCAGTGCAAGTGCGGCCACGAGAACCTCAAAGGCTTTTTGTTTCCTCTTACTTTGTCAGAGATTAAGTGGAATTTTCTTGATGTATCACACAGTGCAGAAGACTGGACTTGGCAGACCTGGTTTCAAATCTGTTGCTCAACTATAATGTGGCTTTTTGAAGTGACCATCTCTCATCCCAAGTTCCCTGTATTTTTTCCTGGAAGTATTCAGTCTGAGACACCTCAAGTATTTTCAACTTTAAGAGTCAGAGTCCTGCACTTTCTGAAAATAATATATTTTATAGAAGACAGCAGTTTTTAAGAGAGTTGAAAGCAGTTTGTGAGGCCTTGAATCCCACACATTTCTTTCACTGCACAGGTTGCATTGATCTTTAACACAATATGAAAGCTTACCAGAGGAAAAGGAGGTGGGGAATAAGTTTATACATCATAACAGTGAACCTTCTTTCAAACCACTCTTACCCACAAAGGAAAAACAAAGACTATTGGATATTTTCTAGTCTGAGCAAGCGTCAAAGTCAGAATTAAAAAATAAACAGTATAACTGAATAACTGTTTCCAAAAGCTGGGGTATAGGGTTCTTTATCCTCTGGGCCTTTGATTGTGTTTTTTTTTTGGAAGCATTACTGTCTCTTGTCATATTCAGTATGGAGCTCAGCAGTGTTTCAGCATAAGCATCCATAGGATTAAGCAGCTTATGTTTGCCCTTGTCAGAGAGGGTGCCAGTTCCTAATGCTAGCCAGTCCAGTTTGTACAAACTTTTATTTTGCAAGATAAATGTACAGAGACGAGTGTAAAATAAATAGCACCAGCCCATCTACATAAAAAACCAACAAACAGTTTAAACGACTGTACAAAATAGTCATGTTTGGCATCTCCTCTTGTGTCAGATGGTAAAAAATACCCACAAATGTTTTAAAGCCCTAGGAATGCAGGCACTGTGGAAATTTTTTCAAACATCAGCAGAAATTAAGAACACATTAAACACCAGGGCTTTCCTTCACTTGATTATCCGCTTTGATCAATAAGGAGAGTATGTGTAAAATGATGGCTAATGCCATGGAGACATCTGTTAAAATCTTCTCCTCTAATATACTGCCTACTCTACAGATGGCAACATGTGGGGATAAAATTCAATTGAAAACAAGATTTTCTTCTACTTAACCAATAAGACCTCCTGGTGCTTTGTTTTTGGAGGCTGCTTTTCTTTGTACCGATTCTGGCTGATGAATCAGCAGGAGGCATAGAATGAATTGCTGCATGCCGCTGAGACAGCCTCGAAGGACACCTAGATGAAAAACTCCAACCCTTCAATTTTTAGGTATGGCCAGTAGGGGGAGCAGAAGGGCAAGCTTCAAGTTTGGGCCACTTCTGCTTGTAAATAAATGTGCTTCTTCAAAGCCAGAAGCCGCATAAAGCCTCAACCCAATTTGCCTCCAGAGGCTCTTAAGTGCATACATTACTATAAATTCATATATACCCTGCCCACAACACCCACTGGATAGAGGGCTAAGTTCACCATGGGCTGGTGCAAGCCCAGAGTAGGTACTGGAATGACATGTACTTGAATGATATTACAACAAAGGGTACATGGCATTCTGGTGCAATATTTTTTCTTAAAATAAATGAACATACACTTAACTGTTGGGGCAGTCAACATGGTATATGCACAAAAGAGGTTACAGTATTGCTAGAGTGCAGCGTTCCACTCATTGCAGTGCTGCCCAAACTCTCGATTTCTATGACATTTTTGTATTCAACACTGCAGCCACCCCAATTTGTTCTCTAGAGTAACACATATGGACTACATGACACAGATTATGGCTGTTGCTTTCGGGGGTTCTCCCACAAGCCATTTTTTCAAGTCTTTTTTTTATTATTTACTGCAGGCTTTCTACGATTTTTACAAGAATGTTTTCAGGTGTTTTCTCTGAGCTGACAGCATTCCACCACCTCCTAAGAGGAAAAAAGCACAGACTGCAAATCGCTACAAGCCCCTCCCACTTTCCCAACCTGTCTACAAAAGGCACATGGAACATACCCTCTCAGTCCCACCTATCACCCTACAAGCAAGGCAATTCTGGGCCTACCGGTAAGCGTACACATCTTACACACCTCAGTCTCCACCCATGACAGTTCTGTAATAAAGAGCAGCTTGTTCTCTTTAAAATACCTCGTACTAGTTTTAGCACTGATGATCCAAGTGGCAAGTCAGTTTCCCCACCCAAACACAGGGTAAAACTACCTATGGCATCTTCCAACTGGACAAATTTTTCCCCTAGAGGGCTGTTCTAGGGAAGCCAAATACATGCCAGAAAAGGTAGCTTTGGTGTGCATCTGTATATCCAGCTTACAGTCACTACTGACAAATGATTGCCTTGAACAGTCACTCTTCCCTCTTGTACGCATAAACAATGGTGTCAAAGGGCACACCTGAGTAGAGGCAGCACTTCCCCTACCTAGAAGGGGGCACATAACCCCTGCACAGTGTTGTAATGCTGGTTTGGCCTTTCTTCGGGGCTAGTGCTCTGAATCAGAGAGGTAAGAAGGCTGTGTCCAACGCCATACCAGCATATCCTCTCCTGCGACTCTATGTGACTCTGTCTGAATCCGTGATTCATTTGAAGCTAGGAAATCCACTGCTCGGTCCCAAATTCGCTTCATTATTTTCCTAGGACAGTAAAAAAAGAAAAAAAAGGGGGGGGGGGAGATGACACTTTGTAACTTGGCTGAATATTTGTGCATGCAACAATGCTTAAGTACCCCTTCCCTGCCAAGACAAGGGAAACAGAACAATGGAGATAATGGACCTAACCTTGTTTTGTTTAGGGGCATAAATCATGTCCTGACCTGGACGGCACAGACTAGCCCAATCCTGTCAGATCACAGAAGCTAAGCAGGATTGACCCTGGTCAGTACTTGGATGGGAGACCACCAGGAAGGCAATGGCAAACTACCTCTGTTAATCTCTTGCCTTGAAAACCCCATGAGTTGCCATAATTTGCCTGTGACTTGACAGCATTTACACACGCAAAGCACATGCTCATAATGAGGGCCTCCGCTTACATGCAGCAAAAGGAAGCCCCAGGACAGCAGTAACCTCCATGTCCCGTCTACAGATGCTGCTAGAAGCCTTGCATAGATTCCGCAGGTGCCGGAACCCTTAGAGAATGCCTCTGCAGTTGGGTAGGTGCTGGGTGGCTCTCTGCTTTGAGCTCTGATCCAAGGATGGCAAAGGCAGGTAAGATCATAGCTAACTACTCCTTTTGCCACCTGTGGTAATGTGACCACCACGATGCGTCATTTTGTACTCAACAGGCTAGACAATGAGGAAGGAAATGATGAGTGTGATTAAGGCACTGAAAATCCACCACGATGCTTCATTTTGTACTCAATAGACTAGACAATGAGGAAGAAAATGATGAGTGTGATTAAGGCACTGAAAAGCCTTGCATCCATCCCATACCAGATGATGTTTGATATGTATGCTTTACCACAACTTTAGCATCACTATCAATCTTTCCCTCTCTCCAAAGTTTGCAGCAGTTCCTCAGGTACTGCACAACTAACTTATAGAATTCAGCATGTAGAGGTAACCACTGACATGGTGGGGGAGGAAAGTGCCATCAAGTTGCAGCCGACTTATGGCCACCCCGTAGGGTTTTCAAGGCAAGAGACTATCAGAGGTGGCTTGCCCATGCCTGCCTCAGTGTAGCAACCCTGGACTTCCTTAGTGGTCTCCCATTCAAGTACTAGCAAGGACTGACGCCGCTTAGCTTGACAAGATTGGGCTAGCCTGGGATATCCAGCTCAGGGTGATCACTGGGACAGACAGTGTTAAAAAAAAAGATTAAACACATTCGGGATGGGCTGCTCTATCACTCGTTATTAACCATGGCAGTCATGTGTGCACAGGAATGTAGCTCTATAACCTACCAGACACTTGTGATGAACTACAGGAGACGGCTGCTCTTAGAGATTGACTCCACTTCTATAGGAAGAATTCATAGCCATGCTTAGAGCAAAGACAGGCTTACCTGTCCTGCGGTGGGATGAGTGTGTCTCTGATGTGCAGGATGCCTACATAGGGGTACCGTTCCAAATTCTGCTCCCACTCTTTGTAGTGATTCTGGACGGCAGCTATTCAGAGAACGGTGCAGAGTCATGAAAACATGCAGTCCTGTTAAACTAGAAGCATTTCAGTTCCATTTCAAGCAGCAGATTAAGTCTTACCTATGATTTTCTGCACCATTTTATACATGGCCCGCTCCTCCTCTTCTCTTCTCCGCCAGTAATACTTCAGGAGAATCAAAACCCCCCAAAGGAAAGCTAAACCTGCGAGGACAGCACAATGACAAAATCTTGAGAATGCAAAGAAATGGCCAGGCAAGCAAGGCCCTAAGGCCCCCTGCAGTTCCTGAGATCAATCAATCCAGAGTACCCTCTCTTTTAAAAAAATAAAAATCTCCCATTTTTAAGCAGTCATGTTATATAGAGAACTGTTTCTGTCTTGCTATCCCATAATTATGAAGCTTCCCTCTCTTGGAGACCAAATAAAGCCCCAGCACTTTTTGCAAGATATCACAGTTCTCTTTTTCACTAAACAGCTCAGGGCAAAATGCTTTATCTAGCAACGGAATGGGCTATGATTCCTCTAGAATGGGCTCTCTGAAGAGGTGAGGGGGGCACCATCCCTAGAAGGTTTTAGGGGACTTATAATTAGGTATTTACTGCAGACATGTTTTAGGGATGCGAAAGGATTTGAAGGGTTATTATTTTTTGTATGTTCTAAATATGAAGTTGTAAGCCACCCTGAGCAATAAGGAAAGGTAAGGTATAAATATTTTAAATAATAAATGATGACTGCCTCAAGATCACCAAGCAAGCTTCTTGGCTGAGAGGGATTTGAACCCTGGTCTACACAGCCAAGGCTTTCTCTATGTTTGCTTCCCAGAGGCAGATAAATGACAGTGTCTTCTTATTCCTACTTTCCTCAGTGGTATTCACCACATATATATCCTTTGAGGAGATCCTTCTATGTTGTTTGTACACAGGAGAGTTGTCACCTTATTCAAACCCTCTAGATACCCTGACAATGCATGCCAGAGCAACTCCTGAAAGAAAATAGGTATTAACAGTGCTTAAATTTGGCTGTCACAGGAAAAACCCAAAAACGTACTCCAAAAGAATATAAATAGGTTTGTAATGGCTGTGCATAGCGCTCGGTGGAAACGGCATCCTAAACTCATTCGAGGACGTGTAGACTCAAGACAAACCACCTGGTCCACAGAAGTAACTTCTTCTGAAGGATCACCACCTTGTAACCTGATAGGAAGAAACAGGAAGAGCCTTTGAACAAAAATACTCAAGAGGGTCCATGTTTCTCAGACAGCTCTTTTTTTTTAAAAAAAAACAACCAAACAGTTAAGAAAGAACTAGGTTCTCGCTACCAATGTCATGGGCATATTTGAATACTAGTACCTTACTAAGTGAAGGATAGAGCTTTGGAAAGACAGCAGGGTAGGAATTATCCATTGGCAAAGTAAAGTCCTTCTCTATAGGTTTTTGACAGCACATCTCAGTGGGCAGGAAATTAAACTTAAATGGAATCCCTCCTCCAGTTGTTGATACGTATGCATGTTGGTCTATATTTATTAAAACAAATTACTACAGTTGTCACCTGGAAACACACTATTTAAGTATATACTCTTGAATTAAAGCTTGATGCATCTGGTAAAAAAAAACCTATGGATGAAAAGCCCCATTTTATAAACTTCCCACATATGAACTTATGCAATCTGTAGAAACCCTTACGTTGCAAAATAAGATGTCCATCTATGGCAGATGGTGGCTTGGGCAGTTCTAGCTCCCCTCCCAATCATAGCAGTGGCTGTGTTTCCTTTTGACAGCTATGGATCAACAGGTTTTCAGGTGAACTTTGGTCTCCTGAGGACCCATAGAAATGAATAGTAAGGAGATCTCAGCACAACAGAGGATGGAATCAGGATATCTGAAGAAAAGCCAAGAAGAAAATAGCATATGGGAGGAAAGGGACCAGGATCTGAGGGGAGGTTATGGCACATGGCACGCATTTTTACTGTGAGATTATAGCCAGACATCCTGGAGTGTGACGTCAAATGGGCCTTAGAAAGCATTACTAACAACAAAGCTAGCGGAGGTGATGGTATCCTAGCTGAGCTATTCAAAGTCTTAAAAGATGATGCTGTTAAAGTGCTGCACTTCATATGCCAAAGCATTGGTATTCCCAGTAGTAATGTATGGGCGCGAGAGTTGGACTATAAGGAAGGCCGAACACCGAAGAATAGATTCTTTTGAATTATGGTGCTGGAAAAGACTCTTGAGAGTCCCTTGGACTGCAAGGAGATCGAATCAATCAATCCTAAAAGAAATAAACCCTAACTGTTCCCTGGAAGGCCAGATACTGAAGCTGAAGCTCAAATACTTGGGCCACCAAATGAGAAGGGAGCACTCACTGGAGAAGACCCTGATGCTGGGAAAGATTGAAGGTAAAAGAAGGGGACGGCAAAGGATGAGATGGTTAGACAGTGTTCGATGCAATGAACATGAAATTAAGCAAACTCCAGAGCACGACGGAAGACAGGAGGGCCTGGCATGATGTGGTTCATGGGGTCATGAAGAGTCGGACTCAACTGTGCTACTGAACAACAACAACAACAAGCCTGTGTTAACTGCAGAGCAGCAGAGTGCATGAATGTATTAGAGTCTGAGTATGAAATAAACAGTAAGAAGACTAAAGGTGTAAGAGACCTCAGAACTAAAAAGCTACAAACAATACACCAGGAAATATATTTTGAGAGACTTTACACAACAGCAAATTAGGAGAAATCCTATTGCAGGATTCCTAGCTGCTGGCTCTTTTCAGCAAGCACATATTAAGAAACATGGGTGATATAATTTATAACTGCTAGTTGATGCCTCTCTGGGGTTTCAACTAAAGCTAATTGTGCACAGATAGTACAAATTCACTGATCAAGAAATCACAGTAGAGTGTACCTAAGCTGCTGACATTATTTCACACCCAACTCTTTATTGGTTATTGGTTTCATTGTGCTATTCATAGTCTAACTCTGTGAAAACTAAGAACTTTCTATGCAGCAGAACTCCCAAACAAAGTGGTCTTATTTGGTTCTGCTTTTATCAGAACAGTGTCAAGTAAGTTCACACAACATTTGCTTAAAAGCTTGCAGCAGCTTTTTACCACACTACATTCCTATTGAGTTTCATATTGAGCTGCCAGAATGGGATCAATTTGCTCAAGTGTTGATGAAACTCTTAATTATGGTGAATACAAAAATGGGGAGTATATTTTGCTCTTCCATGCTATGATTTGTAATGGTGAAGAAAATCTTAATTAGAAAGCTCTGAATTCTATCCCACCAGCAATACTAACACATGCCCCTAAGGGAACAGGGTTTAGCACTGTGGAATCTTCACATGCAAAGAATGGAGAAATGGAACTCATTTTAAAACATCCACAACACAGTTTTAGATAAGAAGATTAGGGGAGAAGGGGTGTTTTGTCATTGCTCACAGCCTCAGGCCTGTCGAATGATTCCACAGCAATCACAGAGTTAACAACACTGACATATTGTTTTTGAAGCTGACTACTGAACTGAGGCACCAGCATATGCTAATTTATATGCCCAGAAAGCAAAACAATCTCCCAATCTCTTATGGACTTACCTAAAATTGTATTCCATAACTGAATAGTCAAAATCTGCAAGACTATAACTCTGTATGAAGTGTCTTGCATACAAATCCCAGTGATACAAAAAGGGCCGCACACAGTGGCAAATGTATTAGGCTTTGATTATGAAAGATTCTCACTCAGTAAAAAGATTGCAACACATGAGTGAAGTCATACCTACACTATAAATGTAAGTAGTCTTGATAAGACCTTAGCTGCTATAGTTTCCCCAAAGAACTCTGGAGGTTGTAGGTTTTTTAATGAGTGAATTGAGCCTTCCATGAAGTGGCCGAGGAATAGGGATGGCCATGAACCTCATCACAAACCTACTTATGTGACAAATAATATGCCCATCATCATGCCCTACTTACGGGACAAATAATATGCCCATCATAATGCCCATCATCATCATGCCCATGCCTATGCACAACCCTCCAGGGATTTTTTGGGAGGTTCGTGGTGGGAGGCAGGGAGGGAAGCGAGGGATCATTGAAATGGCTTGCATCTATTTTAGCCTAACAGCTAATGGGCGCACCAGCCCTGCTGATAGGCTAAAATGGATGCAAGCCATTTCAGCAATCCCTTTTGCTCCCTGCCCCCTGCTTCCAAGCATTCCCTTTAAATGGCTTTTGTAAGCCATGTGCGAGTGAAGTCCAAATGCCGAGTTCACCTGGAAGGGGTGAACTCACCACTTGGACTTCACTCTCGCGCGCCACAGCTTGCAAAGGCATTTAAAGGGAAAGTTCCCTTTAAATGGCTTTTGCGAGATCTCCCCCCCCCTTCCATTCTGCTGGCTTCAAGGAGCCGCTGCCAGCAGAAAGGAAGGAGAGAAGACCCCCCTCCCCACTGCATCAAGAACCTCACGAAACAGGTTTCTTAAACAAGGAGGTTCATGAAGGTTCATGTGACCCCATGAACCAAGATGAACCTCCATTTTCCCCATTTGTGCCTATCCCTGCCTAAGAATTTCAAACAACCACAATTCCAAGAGATTCCTGGTAAGGAGTAATAATGGTTAAATAGGTTTAAAACTCATTTAAAAGTTAAGGTCATGGTTGTGCTCTAACCCTAGCATCTCCTGGGTAGCAAGTGCTAGGAAAGACCTTTCCCTGCTGGAGACCCTAAAGAGCCCAAGTCAATTAGAATAGATAATTCTGAGCAGGATGGATCAAAGGTCTGTCTTTGTGTAAGACAGTTTCAAATGTTTATTTCAAAACTTCAGGGCTATGGTAGCTTTAAGAGCAACTTCCCTACCGACAGGACTTCTAATGTAAAGAATTTTAACGATACAGAAACAAAGATGAGTGGATGCAGCATAATCACAGCATACTAGCTGGTTTGCTGCCTAAATAACTGCAAAGAAATGCACTTCAGATTGCTATTATCCCTTGCTTTCAAATAGCACATCTGTATCTGAGAGCTTGAAAACATATGTATATGGGCACCCTGCCTGCAGAGAGTGGCTCTTGATATCTTCCACACAGTTCAAGAGAATAATCTATAAAATCAGGCTGAGACAAGCACGGAAGTCCTTATAAATATATAATAGGCACTTAAAGAGACTTTGCAATTTTTCAAAGGGCCAAAAAAACCCCCTCAAGATGATTTGTACACGGTGATGTTTACCCTCTAGATATACCGTGCAGCGATTATTGTACCAATAAACTCCAAGTACAAGAACATCAATTGAAGTGAAGAGGGAATGCACATTTTGATTTGTCCAGAACTAAAGATAGCAAGGATCCTGCCATTTATGCCGGTGAGCAAATCAGCTAACACTGTGGATGTGATATGGCGTATTTAAAGTGCTAATGTGTTTTCAGTCCTACAGACCATAAAACACTCCAATAAACACAGAAACATTCAGTGTAAGCATAAGACAGCTGGAACAAATACTCCTAGTGAAACACAATCTCTGTGACTCTCCTGAATTCATACCACATGAAACCAAAGACAGCACAACTGCGGTCATATTTCTGCAACTTGCATAAAGCACTATGGTGTTCAAGTACAAAATCACTTAAAACAAAGTGTGGTTAATATATATCTTTGATCCCTGGAACCAGTTTTACATTTCACCTGACAGTCCAGAAATGGCAATGTGTACTCCTCCTCCAAACTGGGAGACTGCCACATTCAAGACTCTCAGTATTTCAAGCAACTCCGGTATTAGCATATTCTCAGGTTTCCCCTTCTTGACCTGCCAAAGCTGTTGCTTACCTTACATGATCTAACAAGACCTCAGGCTGAGGAACAAAACCATCAATATGCATAGGATGCTAAATTACAAAAGGTTAGACAAAGTTCTGAAAAATGTCTTTATAAAATAGAGATCCCACGAATTTTCAAATAACTCATGACAGATTAAAGCACCAGGCAACTAATAACTTGGTATTTACATATGCTTAACGTTTAAAGTGCTTCATAATATCTCAGTAATTCTTTGCAACAAAGTAGTTTTATATTATCCCCATATTGCAGAAGGAAGGGGGAGCGGGCAGGGGCTGAGAAACAGTGCCTTGCCTTTAGCCATCTAATCATGGCATCAGCAAGGTTCAGTCTCTCTTAGCAATGTAACAACCAGAGGCTCTCAGTCAGGCCTGTAAAACATGATCCAGCCACACAGCCCATCACCAGGTATGATGACCTGCAAGTTGTCTGACATTCTAATGCAGTCCCAGGTAAGCAGGCAGCAAAAAATATCAGTTCCCTGGCAGGTTGCCATTCATGGCTGGTAAGCTGCACCCAGCATGGGGGCTCACATTTTGTGCAGTCATATTCTTAGACATATCAAATGCTAAGCTAAATAAAAACATTTTGCAGTTCGTGTGGAATGCCTGCAAGCTCAAGAGAAGATCCTCCACACAAACACAAAAAGCATTTTCCAAGAAGCCTCACCTCTTTCGTGAATGGGATCCTAAACAAAGTGTTTTTCTGCCACACCTGAAGGGATGGTGGGCTCACATGGGAATTACAACACTGATTATTCCTGTTCACTCACCATATACCTGAATCTTTCTGATTGTCCAGTAACCACTGCAAGGCATCCTTAAACTTCTCTGCAGAGGTGCCAGTCACATTCTGCAAGAAAAGATGCTCCAGAATATTAGCTTTGTATTCTCCTGTTCATGAACAATTTTCTTACAGATGCTACTTTCCCCCTAAGTTATTAACCACTGCACAATTAGATTCAGCAGGCTTCTAAATGTATTTAAATGAATGCAACTAGCCGGAAAACAGAAGACAACCTGGCTGCATTTTACATTTACTATATATGATGCAGGAACACACATCACTGAAAAACACCATGAGTAAAGTGCCAAGATAAAGCTAAGTACAGTACACACTTAGCAGTCTTTTTCTGTAAAGAGGTATACCTGCAGAGGAAAAGCAAAGAGTTTTATACTGATTTGTGGTGAAGAATGGAGAAATTTTACTCCAGCTGCTCTAAATGTAGGAAACCTTTGGTTTCTCGGAAGGAAAAAAGGAACTGCAAGTCTGAGCAGTCACATTATTTAGACTTCTCAAAAAAGCATAATGCACATATAAAAATGGCATATCAAGTAAAAACTGGAACCACCATCCTTTGCCCCAGAATTGCTGAAAGGGAGAAAACAAAAGAAAGACTGGTTCTAGGGCAATGAGAAGCAAATACCAAAAAACCCAAACTTGCAACAGACATGTATTGTGATTGGGCTTACCTCTATATACTCTTTTGCTTCTTCAACTTGAATGCATTTACTTTCTAGATTCTCAGTATTTCCACACTCAAATTTGCCTGGGAGGTGGGGAGAGAAACAAAGAGTGTTACTGTATGAAGAGAACTTTCCCCCCATAAAAAACTCACCAAGGAGTACAGAGCCCTGAGCCAAATTCCCCTTTAACTCAATTTTAGCAAGGACAAAATGCTTATACAGAATATACCTGACTTCTCATAAAATGTGTAGTTTCTATACATAGACTAACATGAGGATAATGAAATTTCATGTTCCTGACATAAGTGGGCACTTGAGCAGTAAGGAAGGACTGCTGCCTTTCATGCCTGTAGTAAAAGACACACTGGGAGTGTGGTTCCCAGCTATGGTTCCAGATATGCTTCCCGGCAGTTTTGGGGAGACAGTGAAAACAAGGGAGGCAAATGCTCAACAGCTAGAAGTTTATAAATTTATCTTGCACTTATGCAGCTTAAAGGGCAGCTGTAAAGTTTCCACTGAGTGCTAATGAGGCAACCCAACTTCCAGTTTAAACGTAAAAGTAACTTTCCTCTTTAGCAATGCAAGCATCTGAAATGGAAACATCAAAGACCCTTCCTGCTATGTGTATATACAGCTTTGTTGACCATGAACACCAAACACAGTAGTTAATTTAGATTTTTCAAGTATCCTCCCCCAAAGGGTGGTTATATATGGCAGTGTGCAAAAAATACTACAATAGCGGTCTTCATTTCAACAAAGCTTAAGAATCACTGAGATTTTGGAAGCAAGTCTCCTATACCTTATCACAGAGTAAAAACTTCTACCATCCTCCATCCCCCATATACAGTGCAGCAGAAAAGCCTTTTTAAACTAACTGCCAAAGACCTTCTCTGCAATGACAGCAATAAACATTAATGTTCCCAATATATAAATTTTCTAGAGTGAAAGTTATAGTGGAAATACTATACAGCACCTAGGATGATGAGTGGTGCTAAAGAAACTTTTATCTACCAAGAGTCCCCATGGGCTCTTCTATAAGCTAATTCTCATCAGAGTGAAACAGCTCAGTTTGTCAATGCAGACTGAAATGAATAGATTGGGAAACATATTTAGTATAAAAACATATTTAGGGTAAAAAATAGTAAATGAAGTCAGCACTTCTATCAATTCACCTCTACAGGCTATTCTAGCCAAAGCTCTATATACTTGTCCAGCTGTGTAAAAGAGTAGCAAAAGATCAACATAAGTTTCTGCCTTGAAAATCATGGTGCTCCACTGCCATCCTATAAAAATCTAAACACTGGATGTCTATCTGAAATTCCTGTACTTGGCTCAGTACTACATTTCAACTAATCATTTGTCAATCTGGAAGCTCCGTGATAGCGCTGATCAGCTCTTTTAAATGACAGATTTATGAAAGACATAAAGGATGCCTTGAACTTCTTATTTACTTACTTCATTTAAGCCCAACAGGGACTCCCCCAAAATATTTTACATTATTCTCCTCTCCTCTATTTTATCCTCACAATTTTGCGAAGTGGGTTAGGCTGAGAATGTGTGGCTTGTCCAAGTGGACACTAGATTCAAACCACTACACTGCGCCTGCATTTTGGTTAGGGAGTGTGTGTGTGTGGGGGGGAAAGGAGTATATATAAGAACTGAAACTGCTCATCCCAAAACCTCTTTGTGAAAACATGACCGCTTGTCACCCATTCTGAAGGACAATAATAGGATTGAAGGGGAAGAAACCACTTCAAACCACTCCCTGTCCCAAAGATCACTGGTATCGATTATTTTGGTCTAGTATGGGACACTGAGGAGAGCTTGGCTGTATGTCTGGTGGCCCAGGTCACGAATATTGCCAAACTGGCGTTTTTCTATCTATGCCAAGTGTGGCAATTGGCCCCTTTCTTGTCACGCCCTGACCTAGCCACAGTAATCCATGCAACGGTCACCTCCAGATTAGACTACTGTAACTCCCTCTACGCTGGCCTTCCCTTGCGACTGACCCGGAAACTCCAGCTGATCCAGTACGCGGTGGCACGAGTCCTGTTGGGAACACCAAGGACGACACATATACAACCTGTGCTGCACCAGCTACACTGGCTCCCAGTGGAGTACTGAGTCAGATTCAAGGTGTTGGTACTGACCTTTAAGGCCTTGAGCGGTCTGGGACCAGCATATCTTTGGGACCGTCTTCTCTGGTATGTCCCCAGGAGAGCATTACACACTGCTGAGAGCAATCTGCTGGTGATCCCTGGCTCCAAAGATATCTGGCTGTCCTTGACCAGAGCCAGGGCTTTTTTGGCCCTGGCTCTGACCTGGTGGAACTCTCTGTCAGCTTCCATCACGGTCCTGCAGGATTTAATGCAATTCCGCAGGGCCTGTAAGGCAGAGATGTTCCACCAGGCTTTTAGCTGAGGACAGCAACAGTTTCCATCATAGCTGGCACCCTTCTCTTTACTCCTATCTTGCTCACCTCGGCCTCCCCTTTAACCTGCCCATGAGACAGAAGAACAATTCAGCGCAGGTTCTTAAAGTTAAATTACAAACGCCATCTGGAGACTGAGTAATTGAGATTAACTGATTGTCCATTTTAATTTGTATTTTGTACGTTTTTAACCTGTTGTAAATCGCACAGAGCTCTGTGTACTCAGGGATGGGGCGATTCAGAAATCTAATTGATGATGATGATGATGATAATAAAGAGGCAGGAAGGCATTCTTCTTCTCAGCCACATCCTTTCAGTCCTCCCTTAGAACATGTGAAAAGGGCAACCACAAAAGCAAAAACTGGAAAAATTTCTTCTGCTAGGTCACTGTGTTAATAGAACTAGAGCTCAAGTTTAAAGAGTGAAATAGTCAATTGTCATCTCTTAAATAGGAATTAAGATTGAAAATATCATGATAGTAGAGAGACCTATTTTTACTGACTAAGAAGTTATTTCTAGAAAAGAAAACAAGAACTCACCAGCTTGTATTGCAAGGTAATTATATAACTCATATAGTGTACTCATTATTCTTTCTTCTTGTTTTGCTTGACAGAACTGAGAAAAGATAAAATAAGTCCGTATATCAGTAATTCAACCATCTTCAAGAAACTAAGAGAACAATCTGGTAAGAGTGCAGTGGATATTACCTAGTATGAGCACAACTGTATGAGATGAAGATAACCCTTCTTACCTCTATATCCCACTACAGGCTGATATGCCCCCCATTCTGGGAAACAGTCAAAAATAACTCCCATGGGTGGAAGTGCCCTCCGCAAGGGGAAAAGGAAATTAGGCTCTAAATTGGAGTCTTATCTTTTGTGACACTTTAGCTAGTAAAATTAAGAATAGTATTTATTTAGTTATATTTACATTTATACGCCCACCCTGTAAACAGGCTCTGGGCGGCTTACAGAAGATGATCTATAGGCCGATACAAATAAAACAATACAAATATTAAAATCCCTTAAAAACAATCTTAACAGTAAAGTGCTCACTACATCAGAGTAACCTTAAGACGAATGGCTTGCATCTGCATTCCTTCTGACTTCAGGTTTTAAGATCAGCCCCACGGTCCAGATGTTTGCCGGTGAGGCTCAGAGTGGGCCAGTCCAATATTCCGGATTGATGGTAACTGTGGCAGTGGCTCCTATTTGAAAGTCTGGAGGAAGAGCTCCATCTTGCAGGCCCTGCGGAACTGCGAGAGGTCCCGCAGGGCCCTGATCTCCTCCGGGAACTCGTTCCACCAGTAAGGAGCCGTCACCTAAAATGCCCTGGCCCTGGTAACAGCAAGTCTCACCTCCTTGGAGCCCGGGATAGATAGACGTTGTTGGGCCCCAGACCGTAGTGCTTTCTGGGGCACAAACGGGGAAAGGCGGTCCCTCAGGTAAGCCAGACCCTGGCCATGTAAGGCTTTAAAGGTAAGTACCATAATCTTGAAGCGAATCTGGTAAGCAACTGGCAGCCAGTGCAGCAGCCTAAGCACAGGCTGGATGTGTTCCCAACGCGGGAGGCCCATCAGCAGCCTGGCCACGGCATTCTGCACCAGCTGCAGCTTCCGGATTTGGGACAAGGGCAGCCCCATGTAGAGAGCGTTGCAGTAATCCAATCTTGAGGTGACCGTCACATGGATCACCGTAGCCAGGTTGCAGTGATCGAGGAAGGGAACCAACTGCCGAACCAGCCGAAGATGGTAAAAGGCCGATTTTGCAGTGGCGGCTACCTGGGTCTCAATTGTCAGAAGGGGATCCAGGCGCACTCCCAAGCTCCTAACCTCTGACGCTGGCACTAATAGTGGCCCATCGAAGGTTGGGAGTGGAAGCCCCAACCCCTTACCGCCATGACTCAGGCATAGGACCTCCGTCTTCGCCGGATTCAGCTTCAACCGGCTCAGCCTGAGCCAACCAGCCACAGCCTGCAACGCCCGGTCCAGATCTTCTGGTCTGGAGTCCTACCGGCCACCCAACATCAGGTAGAGCTGGGTGTCATCAGCGTATTGATGACAACCCAACCCAAACCTCCTAGCCACCTGGGCAAGGGGGCGCATATAGAGATGTTAAACAACATTGGGGAAAGCACAGCGCCCTGAGGCACCCGACACTCAAATGGGCGTCTCCTGGACCACTGTTCCCCTAGCACCACCCTTTGTCCCCGACCCTGGAGAAAAGAGACATGCCACTGTAAGGCAAGCCCCTGTATCCCCACATCGGTATCTTATAAGATTTCTCTCCTTACAAAACAGTGGGGTTTTTTTGGCACAAGTGTCGCTACTCCATTTTGTATGATAGCTAAGGAAGTAGCCAATTTTTTTTTAAGAGACTCAGTTTACGAAAAATATCACTGGGAGCAGGGTGACTACTACTTGAGGATTACATTCACCATAAAAACTTAGATATGGGGGTAAAGAGAGCAGATGAGGGAAACCACAGAATGCCCACTCCCCAAACCTTAGTCTCATATCCTCTGTATGACAGATGAACAGTCACAGTAACTCATGTTCGGATGCAGCAAACATCCCAAAATCACAAAGCTATACCAAGATTTGCTTTATTCAGCTGTGTGTTCTGAAACAAGTCACAGCTACATGCACACATCAGGAGAGATTCTATATGCACATCACAAGAGATTAAGGTCTTCTAGCTTTATTTAAGCTTGATACAGAAAAGCAGCTTTGCAGATGAGACTTTTAACACAAATCAATCTCACTTTTGTTACAACTGACTAAAGAATACTTCTGTAAAAGCAAGGATTCAGATTTGTAGCAGCTTAAAGTAACATGGTTTGAATTAAGATTCTTTTTATTCTAACAAAATGCAGTCTATTAATTCCACATGAATAAATCATTACATTCTTCCCTGGAAACATCAGAGGCTCACTTCTATGACAACAATGATAATAAATGATATATGCAGTATGCTTAAATATTAAATTTAACACCTGGGACCCCAAAGAAAAATGTGTTCTTACATCATTTGTCCTTTCTGAACAATCCATGGGTAACAGCTTCACTGTGAACGAAAAGAAAAAAGGATTAGTTATGTATAGATTACATATTCCTGACAAGACCTAAGAGATTCAAAGTTGCTTTTAAAACAATAAAGGGTTTTGTGGCACCTTAAGGACTAACAGTTCAGTATTACTTTGGCTTTCCTGATTAGAAGCCACTTTGTTTTGCTGCTAGAAACTTATATGGCTATCCTTTCAGAATTATTTTTTTAAAAATATACAGTTCTGCTATACTTGCACCTTGAACCTAAACATGGTTGTTTGGAACTTCTACAGTTCAGTGTGATTTACTTCCAGACAAGTACGCTTAGGATCACAACCAATGCATGCTTATTTGGAAATATGCCCCATATAACTGAATGGGACCTGCTTCTATTTGAGTGAGAAACGGCATCTAACTACAGATACAGTACTATAAAAAGAAAATGATTTGCATACCATGGTAGTAAATAAGGTATTATAAACTCCAGTCATGTCAAAATAAGAATATTTATTTGGCAGACAGTCTGGGATGTTGGACACATATAGGCAATTTACATTATTGAAATACCTGTCTTAAAATATAACATAGTACTTTTGACTAAAAATGCAATTTGCTGTGATACTGTAGGTGAGTTAACTTAAAAACATTACAGTGATGAAAGAGTCCAAGAGGCTTCTCTGTTGATTTCTATCATGACTAAGAACACTAGCACAATTTGACCATATGGTAGGACCTAGACTATAAGAATGTACTGCATTCTTTTCCATGGTGAAGTAAGTGCTAATCTATTTTCTTAGGAAGAATCATGGCAGAACTGTTTTCCGGAAACATGACCATATTCTACATATTCACTTTTTATAAAGGGTGGGACAAATTCCTTACATATCTTTTTGGAACAACATGGTGTATTTTCAGAGAATTTGATAAAGCCGGGGAACTCATTTGTTCCAATGAAATATAGGATAACCAATTTTTGTCTGCATAAAATTTCCAGTGACTGCAGCAGGTCATTGTAGATATTTTAGATGTTGTACTTGCTAGGCAGTCAGTATGAAAGACTGTGATTTCTATAAAATATATCCTTAGAACATGTATTGGCAATTAAATGGAATAGCTATCCTCAGGGCCTTTTTTTTTTAAAATTGCTGGAATTTTCAAGAGGGAAATGAAGTTTTTAATCTGTATACTGAAAACTTATGAACTTTTAAACATTTTAAAAAGAATTTTGGTGGCGTTCCAGAACCCTGTTCCAGTGCATTCCTCCAGAGGAAAAGCTCTAGCTATCCTAAAATGGAGATCAGACAAACTCAGAAGCCAAATTCAGTTATAAAATAAATCCAGGAATTATTTCCCCCCCCTATGCAAAACTTTCAAAAGTACAAGAGACTGAAACAACAAAATTATGAGACTATCAGGAAGGGGAAGGATGGAACTGGGGTTGAAAAGGAAAAGGGATAAAAGTATCTCAAAAAGAGGGTTAAACTCTGCACGTACAGTCTTCGGGCCCTTGAAGTCGGGCAGATCCCATCATCTTCACCCAAAGGATGCCCAGGAAAGTTACCAACAGCCCTAAGGTTGCCAGCCACAAGAACCAGGAAAGATAAAATTCCAGGCCCCTGTTCTTTCTTCCTGTGCCCTGAGTTTTGGATCTCAAGCCTACATTTTTATGTGTGCCATCCCAACGGGCACTGTGGCTTAATTCTCTTCCTGTACTCCCATGAGTCTGGGAACTTCTGGAAGACAGCCCTGCTTCTTTCTCCACTGTCCATGGGGTCCTATAGCTTAGCCCCTCTCTCCCTGATCCCAAATAGGAGCTGGGAGTTATCCCCCTTTCTGTCTCCAAATAGACCCTATTACTAAAGCCTGTATTGCTTCCTCCCTTGACTGATCCCCAAGGGGCGCTGGGGGTCGTGCCCTGCTCCCTCTCCCACCATTTGCTAGAACTGAGCCCCACGCCTCCTCCTCCTCCTCCTGTCGATGTCGCTCCATACTGGCTGCTGAAAGGGAGCCTGTCTGGGGTGTCCCTCGGATAAGGAAATGTCAACCCTCCTCCCGTCTCCAGCCGGGTCCTCTTTGGGGTTATTCCACCGCTTCCCGCCCAAGCGCTGCTAGGGACCACCCCTACTCCTGCCGCCAGCGGGCTCCTCCGGGAAGCCACCCCGCTCTCTGTCCACCAGTGGTTCCTCTGAGGCAGCACTTCGCTCGACGGCGCTGCGTCCCTGCGAGGCGACTGGAAACTCCCACCGCCCTCCTCTTCTTCCTCGCTCGCTTCATCTTCACTCTCTCTCCTAACCAGGACGCGGGGCCGAGGAGTTACTTTTGGACTGCTACTGGCGGCCGGCTTCGGCCTCGCGGAGCCGGAAGAGCCCTGAGGTTGCGCCCGGCTACCGCGGCTCCTCTGCCCAGCAGCCACCTCAGCCCGCAGGCGGGTGAGCTTCTTGGCGTAGAGCTTGCGAGTGGAATCAGTTATAGGCCCCGGCTGGTAGCCCAGAGCCAGAAGTTCCGCCCGCAATTCTGCGTCTGACAGCCCCACTGCGGCCATAGCCAAAGAGACAGAAGAAAGTGCGAGTCGGAAGTGATACCGTTCTAACTAGGAAGCACTAGCGCCATCTTGGTAGAGGCTATGAGTAGTCCCTCTTGCTGCCGCCTCGCGGAGGTTCAAATTTCCTTCGCCGCCATCTTGGGAGGGAATAATAAGAACCGTAGGATTCGCCATCTTGAGAAGGTCAAGGACACTTGTTTTCTAAAAGGAAGTCAGAATGTCTGCAGTTGCTGTTGGCTGGTGTAGATTCTCTCTAAACTGCACGTTGAAAGTGGTTTCACTGCAATTAAGAAATTTCTCGCACGTGTAGTGAATATTTTAGGGACGATAGCATCGATTTAAAAATCGACTTGCTAAGTCTTGCTTCAACAACATTTACCTATTGTTGGTGAAAACTGCCGTCTAGCGACGCCCTAGGATTTTTAAGACAAAAGACCATTAGAGGTGGTTTGCCATTGCCTGCCTCTGAATAACAGCCCTAGATTTCCTTGCTAGTCCATTGAAGTACTAACAGCGGCAGGAAAACTAGTCCATTGAAGTACTGCATAGCGGCAGGAAAACTGATCAGATCGGGCCAGCCTAGGCCACCCTCACCAGACTTCTATGTCATGTGAAAATAGTATTAAAGGAGAGCCATAGGGAAGGCTTGGCCATTTACTGAGCGATTTGACTGTGGTCCTGGGGGACCGCCTATCTGAACTCCTCCTCCCTTGTTCGGGAAAGAAAAAGGTGTTTAAGAAGAGAGGGGGGAACAGAACTTGAAGGTCTGCACTCCCGTACTTTACGTTTTATTTTTATACGACATTCGTTTTGGGATTTTTCTTTGAACTACCTGGAACATCAATAGCCCAGGGATCTGTAATATTCTAAAATGAGTTTTCATTTACAAGAAAATAATATTGGGAAACGTGCGTGGATGACAGGTGGTAATGTTGGTAGATCCAGGTGGTCCTTAGTGTTGGTGTGAAGCAGTAGAACAAATTTAGAGTCCAGTGGCACCTTTAAGACCAACAAAAGTTTATTCAATGTTGTACACTCTTTATTATTTATTTATTTATAGTCAAATGTATACCCCGCCCTCCCCGCAAAGCAGGCTCAGCGCAGCTTCCAACAACAAACACAACAATACAGAATAAAAATATAAATAATACAGAATTAAAACACAGTATTTAAAATAGTACATTACAAAGTATCAGAATACTGGCGGCAGTTAAAAATCAAACGAATAAAGTGCTTTCCAACAAAGTGCTTCGATGTTATTCCACATAAAGTGTTTAGATGGTATTCTGCTCCTTGAGCAGTAGTTTTGTGGCCTACTAAGCGGGTCACTTTAATGAAACTGCAGAATATAGGGGTTTTTTTGTGTGTCATGGAACATTGGTGTATTTACCCCTTACAGTTGTCTTAGTTCTTTTGGTTTCTTAGCTTGTAGTCCATGCCAATATGACTCACGAGTTCTAGTTCTCCACATTTCAGATATGCTGCTGATGAAATAGTCCTGTGCTGCTTTCTCAATCATATCCTTAAATTTTCTGTGTATGCTTGGGGCAGAAATAAGTGTCAGTAGGCAATTTGCCTGCAGCGCTTTCAAGGAAAGGCGTTGCTGTCATAGTTCAGCTCCAGTGCCAAGAGACAGGGCAGACCTTTATTTTTTCACGCTTTCCCTGTCACTCTGATTATCCACATTCATTTTACAAACTCACAATCTTTCTGATACTGTGTGAAATGTATTGAGTCAAATATAGTCAATGGTCAGGAAAAGTAGTTTCCCCTGACCTACAAGGCTTAAAATCCATTTAAGGTAAAAGTAAGTTAGTAAAAAACTCCAGTCAAGCACTGAAGAAGCAAGTTTTTGCAAAAGAATAATCAGTTTCTTGCACAATCAGACCCATTATGATTGGAAACACAGATGTCAAATGTAACTACATACTACCAATCATGAATAGCAGTAATAAAAACTATTACAAAACACTGAATACAAAAATATAGAATAATACAAATGTCATATGTCTATCAATATGTATGTCTTGAAATACTGAAAGCCAAAATTACATATCATTGGCTGCTGTGGGAAGGATAGCATAAGGTTTGTAATCATTTTGATAAAAGACTGCTACAAAGCAGGATTTTGGTTCTTTTTTTTTTAGACATTCTTTACATCTCATTGTAGATCAAGACAAAAGAGTGCAAGTCTGGTAGCTTGATATTTTTAATATCCCTTGATATTAATCAAATCACTGAAGACAGTGCACTGATCTTGGGCAATGGTTTTCTAATTTATTCCAATATTTCTAAATATTTCACCCGATATACCTAAAAGTGACATGCAGTTATGAAACTCACCTTCACCAACATGGACTATTTTCTATAGCCATTGTTTTGAAGGGATTTGTCATGTTTTAGACTTTATATATATTAGTTGGGTAAGGAGCAAAAGTGTTCAAGCTAATATCCTGGCAGCACCATCTTGAACAGAGTTACACCCTTCTAAGACCATTGGCTTCAATGGATTTAGAAGGGTATAACTCTGCTTAGGATTGTGCCTTCTGTAAGTTGTAGACCTCTGTGTTGGTGAGGCCTCCATTACAGAAAGGGAAAAGACAGCTGATTTTGAAACAGTATAGTTACTTTAAAAATTAATATGAAAAATACCTATCCTAGAATTGAGCACAAGCCACCATTAGTAAGGTCTATAAAATAAATATATGAGTCTAGTTCTTGGTTCTGATGTATTGATAGCATTGAGACAATGATATTGAAATATTCCTCCAAATATTAAATATTATTGTCAGAGCATAGAGTTGTTATTTTTTCTGTTCATTTATTAATTTTCTGTTCATTGTTATTGAAATAAACTTCCATCAAGACCTTAAAATTTGTAACCCTACCAGTTTTGCAAAGACCCTGTGTGCAAAGACATGTGCAAAGACAAAATAATAAGCCAAGGTTATAAGGTCAACAGTTGTAAAGCAATAAATATGACAAAATAGCAGATAAATGTGTAAAGGTATCTTTTCTAATTCTCTCCTCTCAGACATGGAGGTCACTTAACAGCACGTTCTCTTTTTTGAGGTGGATGCAACAAAACATTTCAATGTTCCTTGCATTACATTCAGTATTCTAATATCTGCTGTTTTGACATATTTATTGCTTTACAACTGTTGGCCTTATAACCTTAGCTTTTTATTTAGCTTTGTCTTTGCACATCTTCATCATGTTACATGTTAATTTGCTGTTCAACCCCTGACTATAAGTTTGCACACAAAAGCTCATACCTTGAATAAAACTTTGTTGGTCTTAAAGGTGCCACTGGACTCTATAATGTACTGGGTTCAGATGCGTAGCAAGTGATCAGCTCATATTTATTAGTGAAATTCAGCTCAACTAAAAGACAAACTAGCCAGGTTCGAACCCTGCTTTTATCCGTGCCGCACACAACACACACTCCACTCCCGTGATTGGCTATTTACAGTGTGAGAGTCCATCATAGGTCAACCTTAGGATCCGGGCAAACCTATTGGTCTGCACTAGGATCTGAGTCGGCTATTGTTTTAAATCCTGAAGGTGCGCTAGACTGCATGGCTTCCTTAGCGCGTACGTGTCCCGACATGTCCGTATCAATACTTAACACCCCTCCCCCCATAGTTTGGAACTCTTAGCTGACATAGTCTTGGAGGTAGGTTGGCCTGCGCCATTCTCTGGTTGAACGGTGGAGTTCAGTTGGAGGTGCGGCGGACTCTGACGGATTGGCCAGAGTGAGCTCACCCTCTGAGTCCAGGGGGGTTGGCGGGCATCGGTGTTTCCTTCTGTGGTGGCTGACGTTGGTGACCCAACTGATCTCTCAATTGGCTGCTCTTGTTGGGCACTGCTCGTTGGTGTGGGCCTCGCGTGCTCCGTTTCTTCGGGGCTTGGCAGGTCATCATCGCTGTCCTCCGGCATGGCTGTTGCGGGCTCCGCAGGAAGAAGGCAGCCACAGAGCTGGCCGATGTGCCGGCGAAGCCTCTGTCCATCTTCTGTGGACACCTCGTAGGATACTGGCCCGGTCACTCTGACCACTCTGGCTGGGATCCACTCGGGCCCCCTCACGAAGTTGCGGGCATACATTGGGTCACCAGGGAAGAATCCTCGGGGGCCCCTTTGGCTCTCTTGGCCCAAACTGTGCTCCGGGGCCCGGTCGGGGTGCAGCCTGTCCAGGCGGGTAGCTAGCCCATTAGGAGTTCTGTGGGGCTGTGGCCTGTGGTGGTGTGTGGGGTTATCCGGTTGTTGAAAAGGAAGGCTGCCAGCCTGTGGTCCCACTCACCCTGTACGATTCTGTGGAGGGCCTCCTTGGTTGTCCTTACCATTCTCTCGGCCTGGCCGTTGGTCGCAGGGTGAAAGGGAGGTGAGTGGATGTGTCAAATAGCATAGTACTTTACGAATTCTTGGAATTCTGCCGACGTGAAGGCTGTCCTGTTGTTTGTCACGAGTGCGTTGGGGATCCCATGTGTGCTGAAGATTCGCCACTGTAATGTACTCTGTGCTGCCTAGAATGCATTAAGATGGTTGTGAATCATCTCATAAGGAAGCAATGTTAAGCTTCGTCTTGAACAAGGATTGAAGTTCAAGACTACTGCGTCCAATCAGATTCAAATGTGTATAAGCGGGAAAGACTCTGTTTGGTCCTTATTGTCTCAACCTGATAGGTTGTTTAACTGTATAGTAGGCGTGGCTATATTAGCCGGGAATGTTTAAATACCGAGAAGCTGCAATGGGAAGCTGTTCGGGCTATCAGAGAAGTTGTACCGTGTCAGAGAAGTTGATCGTCGAGCTGAAATAAACCTGAGTTTTGCTGAATCACTCTCTGGCTATTTTGTTAAGCACGGACTTAACAATTGGCGACGAAGGTGGGATTCTAGAGCGGGTAGGCAGCCCCACTGGTCCCAACCCCACGACGGACAACAGCGAGCCGCAGCTCGCCGTGGCAGAGCAGCAACAGGCACCACCTGAGCAAGTGGCAGCGA